ACGCAAAAACGAAAAAAAAAATGTTTTAAACGGTGGTTCTTAGTTTTTTTGCAAAAAGACTGTTTTATTCCAACCCTGCATGCATCTCTCTTAAACATACACACTCTTCTCCCTTGCCCTTACACACCAGTTTTCTTCGGCAATTACTGCCACACCATTTCAACCATAGCTGCTGTCTTGCCACAGTCACGTCATCATCATTTGGCAGTATCATTTCTTATTTTAGCTATATCATCATTCTTTAGCCGTGGTTAATTTAAGTTCAGTTCAGTTAACTTGCTGGACCTTGAATTAGTGCAAACTCTTGCTTCACATGTTGACTTCTCTCCCACTGCACGGCAGGGTTCAAAGGTAGAGGAATATGTACCCCTGCCAAGCACAGAACAGTTCCAAGAGTTGAAGCTATCAACACATCCAAAGGACAGCATCATTCCTCTGACTGTCTCTTCAACTAGAAGAAAGCATACTGAGGTGGTGTTTTCACTGAAGCAATTTAAGACATTGTAATGAGACAACGTATTTGTGATAATTTTATGTGAATTGTTTTTATTTATTAATACAGCAGTAAGTTATCTTTTTGATAACAAAACTTGTTCATGTCTGTTTGCAGCAGGTTTTCCAAAAGAAGTTTTCATTTGTCTTATCATTACTTGTAGATGTCAGTTAATTTTCCCTGATCTCAATCTTTCATTTGTGATTATATTTTCTGATAGTTAATTAATGTTCTCTTTTATAACAATCTATGAAATAAATGGTTGTATCCTGTCCTGCGTACTTAATTTATGTTACACAAGTTGTGATTACCAGCTTATACCTACAAGTGAAATACTTTGTGACACACTTTTGTGACTAGTGAATTTGCATGAAACACCTTGCTCACAATGGGAGCTATATTATAGGATGCAAGAAGTTATAGGGAATCGTTATCGTTATATGCAATTCATGCAGCTTGGCAAGACATCATGTCGATAACATATACTTAACACACGTGCTACCACACCATGCTCAAATGTTTTCATTGTTGTGTTTTTTCTATGTTTCAGTCGTGTCTGATCGTATTCTTCTCTGATGGAGGTCAGACAGAAAGAGCACGAAATTTTCTTAATGACATGCGTGAGAACCATGTAAGTGGCATCTCACTAAACTCTCTGTTTATTCTCTTCCTACTCCCGTCACCACTATTTTTCCATTCCATCCATGAGAGAGTCAATTATCTGCTCTTGCTATATATATATATATATATATATATATATATCAGAAGTAGATAATAGGTCTACTTCTGATATATATGCAGTCAAACTTGTATATAATGGTCACTCACTAGGTAAAGACCAAAACTAGTAATATATGTAGAATCTGTTTCACTATATAACTACCACCATAAGAAAATGAAACATGTTATTTATAGGTGTTCATTCTATAGAGTTGCCATCTAACACAGCTTCGAGTGCATATATGTGTACTTGTGTGAGCCCACGCGTGTCTGTGTGTATATGTGTGTTTGCGTGTATTCACCTTATTGATATGTCTTTCTTTATTCATGTGTTTAGTTGATGCATGAGACCATGTTTGTATTTTATCAATAAACGTCACCTACTCACAGGAGACATTGATTTTTCGTGAACTCATGCAGCACCTTCTGTTAAACTATAGCTCGTGAGACTGGTAAACCAATACTTGGTTACTTGACACTTTCCTATAGAACCGATTTTCTTTCACACTTTAATGTGACAGTCGTAACGGTGGTTTTTACTATATAAAATATATCAGCCATTCCCATCACCTATCTTCAAACGCAACCATCACACCTCACCATTGCCATTAAAAATATTTGATAAATTTTGAGCTTACAGCAGTTCAATCTCTATCTCCTTCCTTCTGTTAAGTCAAATTGACTGGCCATCCTTTTATATAAAACATGCCTACGTCCATTAACCACTAACCACTACCCTCGTTACCTAGCCTACCTTAGCACAAACCCTACATTAATTATTTCAAGAATCTTCCTTTGTATTTGTAATTATTGGTAATAATCACAAACATCGTGTAGGTGTATTCATAACCCTTCAATAAATGCATGAACATATTTATACGTGATACATATAATGATAATAGGCACTACACTCAACCATTTACACGCAAGAGTTTTTTGTGCCATGGCCATCGTCTTTTATTGACGTAGCTGCTAAAGTTACCCATCCCTACCGTTTTCATTTTGCCAGTCTTGTCTTATGTAAAGGAAGCAACCTTATTTAATCATATACATATAGCATCTTTCATCAGACATACCTGCTATTTCTCTTGCTTCTTTCTGATCACCGTGCTTCCCTTAGTTATAGCTGCAATCCTCCTCTAACAGTTCCTACTATCATAAACTGTAATATTCTTTTTGCCATACCTAGCACGTGTTTTTTGCTCACGCCCCTATCTTTTTCATATTCTACCCACCTTTTGTCCTCATGCATCCAGGGTTGGCACGAAAAAAACAGTACTGTTTTAAACTGTTTTAAAACAGTGTTTTTTGCTGATCCAAAGTACCCCATTTTTATGGAATTTTACTCTAAGTCAATACTACGCCAACTAATTTTCTACCCTCCTAATAAAAGTATTTTCCATGCTTACTTTTGGGGGAAAACTATAAAAAAGTGCTGAAATTTTTCTACTGGCCAATAGATGTCAGCATCACCCAATGCTATACTGTTCCTATGGAAACAACCCAAGCCAAAAAAAATTATTAAACCAATAAAACTAGTCNGAGAGAAAGAGAGAGAATGAGAGAGAGAGAACCAGAGAGAGAGAGAGAGAGAGAAAGAGAGAACGAGAGAGAGAGAGACAGCGCGAGAGAGAGAAAAAAGAGAGAGAGAGAGACAGAGAGGGGGTGAGGGAGTGAGATGGTTAGTGAGGGAGAAAGAGAGAGGGAAAGGAAGAGAGAGAGAGAGAGAGAGAGAGAGAGAGAGAGAGAGAGAGAGAGAGAGAGAGAGAGAGAGAGAGAGAGAGAGGGAGCGAGCGAGTGAGGGAGAGAGACGGAGAGTTAACGGCATTATAATTCACGGTACTCCGCGCCAGTGCGAAAATAAAAATGATTATACATTTATATACAATGTAAACACACAAAAACACAGTACTTACTGTTCATTAATACTATATTACTTTTTACATTTACTGAAAAGGGGTATTCAAAAAACAACATTACTGTATGTGTAAGCAGGGTACAAAATTAACGGGAGTCCGGAGTCAAATACTCCATGATTTACTGCCGGACTCCCTGATTTGACGGATATGCAGGAGTCCGTGTGACTCCCTAAAAATTCTGACATACTAACTAGTTCATTCCAGAGCACGGCCTCACGGAATGACCGTATTTTTTCAGCAAATGTCCAAAGAAAATTTGGCAGACGTGCAACCGCATGAATCTTCAAAATAAGCCCATGCGTTATTGTTAATATCTTTAGTTTTGAACTTCATATTGCGGACTCCCTCATTTTTTGCTGCGGACTCCCACATTTTGAGGGCTTGGAGTCCGTTGGACTCGCTTGTTCAAAAGTTAATTTCTACCCCGTGTAAATACGTATTTGTGACCGATTGTTGAAGAGGCTGATAATAAGGGGATACCTTCACATCAACATCAAGTGCCATATAAAAAAGTGTGGTCAAGGAATATGCACCATAAAGCTTTTTTGATATGGCAATTGATGTCAATGTCGATGTATATATGTCAGGAGTAGATAATAGGGAAGGAGTGTGACTTCAATAAACAAGGGAAATTCGTCATTTACTAGCCTTATAATACCTACGATTTACTACGCGTAACTCATCCAACTTGAGCTGAAATCGTACACAGTACATTCGCCTAGCATCGTGCAAAATCGTTTCCTCATATACACCCGCAATCCGGAGATATAGACTAAAACGTACGCCACGATTTTCCATTCTGCTGCCAGCAAACTCAATGCGTTTTGCGCCGAAATTTAAACAAAAGGCAGCTACTAACCACAGCTTGCTCTCTCGGCGAGGCGGTGTGGCTCGCAGGGAGATTGCGGTGGGCGTGCGTGCGTGGGGGGCATACCAGGTGTATGCCGGTATGTAGCTGTATGCCGGGTCACAGGTTATCTCGCCGAGTGATGCATCAATGTCCAATCTCCCTGCGTGCCACACCGCCTCGCCGAGAGAGCAAGCTGTGGTTAGTAGCTGCCTTTTGTTTAAATTTCGGCGCAAAACGCATTGAGTTTGCTGGCAGCAGAATGGAAAATCGTGTCGTACGTTTTAGTCTATATCTCCGGATTGCAGGTGTATACGAGGAATCGTAGTATACGAGTAGTTATCCATGTTCGATGTTACATCAATAAAACAGCCCAAAGTGTGTCTTTATGTGTTTATTTGCGTGTC